ATAAGGTTTTCAACCCAAAAGGGGTTTGGGTAATCTAATTTATCTGTCTTCCCTTTGTAAATTCTGACAGGTGCTGTACATAGGTTCAAAAAGGCAAGCTTTCAGGATGGACGAATGAAAAGACCATCAAACGAGTCATGCAGAGAAGAAATTTGAGCGCCAGCTGAACAAGCACTGCTGATTGAGCTGTGCAAAGGATTTAAAAGTTTTATTTTGTCACAAAAAAGAAAAGGCAAAACTGCAGACATTTGTGATTCCAGACGATGGCATGGTAGAAACATACACTGTTACGGCTGGCTCAAATGCTGAGCATAATTAGGGAGACAACACAAAGGATTTAAGTTCTTATGTTTAAGTTTATTGACAAAGTTTAAGTTTAAGAGTATATAGTGTTTAGAGCCTCTTAATCTGCATGGAAATTTGAAAGGAACCCCACAGAGATCACAATTAGAAAGCAGGCATGCACAAATAAAATGTAAATTAAGCTGTACAAGAAAAATAATAAAACCCTTTAAAGAGCCGAGCTACTGACAGCTCCTGAATCAGAGGCAAATTGCAGTGAACTGCAAACTTTAGGGCAACTTTGTCTTATTTCATCAACACAATACCCTCTGTGAACTGGACCCTGAGACAGCAGATATCAATGTCAGTGGCTGCATTTGATTCTCTGTGAATTCAGCCCTCTGATCCCTCCCGTCACACTTGACACATGCAGTGATTGGATTTGATTCAGAGTTCACAGTAGAATATTGCTCAGATTGAGTTTTAGACTGTAGGCTGATGTCTACTTGATTTCTAATGAACACTGTGGCTGTGGAACCAGATGCAGATATGACCTCCTTCGGGAGCCCCCCACCCTGGGTGCTTCTCATGTCTCTTAAATTGTATCCTCGTTTTCCTCCACCCTTTTCTGCCTCTCTTACCTGCTCAACAAGTCAAATGTCATCAGGTAGGCAAAGTAACTTTCATTGTGACATGTTTTGGTGTGTTCAAAATAAAACTGACATCACCATGTTTGCATGTGAAATTGTATTCGTACACAAAAACACGAATCTCTGTTAGTGATTGGAGGCCAAAACGATTGAATTGATTGCAGCTGGATGTAGGTAAGTAATTGGGCTATCATTGGACAACACCGAATTTGCCTTGCAGGTGTGTCCACAAACATTCAGCTGCTACTTGTAAGTTGAGCAGATAGAGTCATCTGCCACACATCAGGGGACCTCCTCAAGCCTGCCGAGGAGGTCGGGGACATTTGTGTGGCTCCACCACGTCCGGTAAGGGGAGACAAAGCGGACGTGGCCACCGGGAACGACTCGCAGGGCTCTGATCCACGAGTGCAACCTGTGGAGCTGCATGGACATGACTATCTGTGGACTTCAAGGACATGAGGGCCTGGGTCATAGACCGTCACACTTTATGATAAGCCAAATTGTTAGGGGGGTGATGCTCTACAGTGATGTGCTTAAGTATTTCTTCCATGTTTGTTCGGTAGGTGTCTCAGTTTGCTGTTCTGTAGTTTTATTTTGTCTTTGGGATTGATGACGATGGAAGAAGAAACTGGTGAGAACTGGTAGGTGGTCACTGGAGAGATGGGTTTGTGGTGGAGAAAAGGTGGAGTCTTGTAGACTGGGTACATAAGACTAGGTCCAGAATGTTGGTGTTGCCAGTCTGAGGAGATATGTAAGTGGGTTTCATTTGTGTCCTGTAGAATCTGCTCGTGTCGTTCTGATTGTGTTTGATTTCCTGCAGTAAGAGTGTATGTTTGGCATTGAAGTCGCCCATCATCAGGGAGTGGCTGGGGTTGGCGGTGGCTCAGAGCAGAAGAGCTGAGGGTATTTTTCAAGCAGGACTGTAGATGCTAGTGACTGTGATTGGATGATGTGAATGAATTTAGATTTTCATTGTGACATTCTTTTTATAAAGGACCAAAAATCAGTTTGGCTGTATTCAATGTGTTTTTTTGTTTGAGATGGAAAATCCTCCCTATATAATGTTATTTCTGGATAATGTAGTAAACTGGGGTGCTGATGCCTGATGTGTTGGATCGGAGAGGTTCAAGTAGATGGATTAATTCTTCTTCGTTTCCTCTGTTGTTTATAATGGTGTGGGTCATTATGACAAGGAGAAAAAAAGAGATAGGTACTTATTATTTGTGGTTGGGGGATGATGTGGGATGGAAAGAGGTTTCATATGCTGAATTGGTGGGTTTTCTGATGCTTTGAAGGTCTTCTTTTGATTTTCATCCATGGACAGTTTTCTGAGGTCGTCACAGAGGTGGGTGAAGTAGGTGAGAAAGGCCCTCTGACTACCTTTCCGTCAACCTATAACAGACGAAGGAACTGAGGCAGGACTTAAGCATTCTGATGAAGAGTGTGGCCCCCTTTCAGTTGACTCAGCCACACCTCTTATGTACAACTCTTATCCTTCATAAAATCTAAATTAATGAAGAATACAAAAATTCACCCCACATTCAACACATCGTGTTGTGCCAGAAAAGACAATCTTTGCAGACCAAATTAGTTTTTGGTACCTAACCTGATGATTGATTTCCAGGTCTTTTGCTGCCAAGTGGACACTCAAGGAACTGCATTTTTTGCACTTCTGCAATGGCATTATTTTCATTTCATGTTCACTTGGCTGAAACTAATGCTTTCTCCTAACCCTAATTTATAGGGTTCAAAGTTCTAAGGAATGTGGCTGGAGTCAGAAACTTGGGAGAGAGGGAGTGGGGAATGACATGCAGGAAAGGAGCCACAGGTCGGAGTCAAACCCAGGATGCCTGCTTGAAGGACTATAGCCCTCATGCATGGGGCGCATGCTCTAGCACTAGGCTACCAGTACCACCCTGTTATAAGTATTTGTCATGAAAAAAAATCATAGCCTGTGAGTAACTCAGCTTAGTACATCTCCATTCAACATCATTTTTGTCTGTCCTGTGTTAAACACTGCCTGTATGTATAAAGTCTAATGAAAACACATTTTTCATCCAATTTCTTCGTTTACCTGAACAGACTGACATGCAAGTTTAAAAAAATAAAATAAAACAAACATGAAAACGCAGCTCAACTTTGTAAAAAATAAAACCCCAACAACGTCAGAGCCTTATAAAATATAACTTAAGCACAAAAAGAAATCATGTGTAGACAGCATTCAAGCCCCAAATCCTACATTTTATTTTAAATTGTCAAAATGAAAAATTCACAGTATAATCTCCACAAGAGTTTCCTGCAAGAGATGATGAATTTTAAGAAAGCACCCAACATTTCTGCTTTAAAAATGAATAAACACTTGATTCCAAATTATTTTTTGTACAACAAAGTGTTTCAATCAGACACACAGAAAAAGAAATACACACCAAACAGATCACAACACTTTCCAAACTTTAAATACATTAAGAATACCAGAGGTCATTGCTTAAATAAACTCTACAAAAATATCTGTTGTAACGTATTTACATCGACTGTAGCTTCTAGAGATAGTGTGTTAATGTTGTCTTACTCATGATTTCATCGACAGCGGCTGACATGAGTAGACGTTGGTGCTTTGAGAACACGAGTCGCCACGCTCTCACTCTGAACTCAAACACATGGGAGTAGAAATTGATAACTTGAATTATAGTAGAGGAAAGCAGAACAGATCGGCCTCGAGAAGCATTGCACTGAGTTCACAAAAACATGAGCATGTCATATTCTTGCTCGTGTTATTATGAAAAGAAATGTTCGTGTGAATTATTATTATTGTTTTTAAACCTGAGATCTACCGTAAAATAAAAATATGTATGAAAAAATACACGTCTGACAATCTAAAATGTTGGCTGTGTCCTATACACCGACGCAACCAGTATAAAATGCTGAGTCATGCCCCCGTCATAACAGTAATTGTCACCATCACCTACTGCATGCCACCTGACACAATACACAATGATTGGGGGGTGAATAACAAATTGTAAGCTCCGCTTCTCTGCGCAAGGCGTGCTGGAATACAAAGCTATGTGGACCAGGCAGGCAGCGCCACTTGTTACCATCTTTTCTCCCTCATGAGGTCAGAATGGTGCATTTGAAAAAAAAAGGGTGGTACACTGTTGAGTAAATAAACCTGGTGTAGTGCGGGTTTGATGGCAAAGAAAACAAGTGGCCAGAGGAGGTGGAGAAGAAAGACTCGCCGGCTGTATGGTCTGTACTTCACAACGATGAACGTTACCATAAACTGTCAGCTTAACTAGCGCACGATACAGGTAGCTAGCAGGAGTACACACTCCCCATGGTGAAGACAGATGGTACTAACAGGGCTGAACAGCTGCACAGAAACTGCATGTTGTTGACTGATGAACAAACAGGAAGACAGTTGAAACCAAAGTCCAGAGTCTCATAAACCAGTGAGACTTTCCAGTAGTTTGATTTTTGACTGATGGGTAGAAGAAAAAACAGTCTTCATCTTGTGCCGGATCCAAGTCTGTCCACTAAAGTTTTTTTTTTTGTTACAGACAGGCACGGATTGTCATCAAGAGTTTGACAACATTACAGAAAGGATCCTGTTACCTTGATGTTATCTTACATCACACAGGAGTTGCTCATCTACTGCTTCCTCAATCCTTTCTTTCATTTGTACCATTGTGTGATTTTAGAGTTTTAAATACTAATTTATATAAGACAGAAGACCATCGATGTGTAATTTTCAACTGAAGCCGTCCCTAAACTTTCTGTTCACACAAATGTGTTTAAAATACGTTCCAGGGTTTGAAAATGTTGGAATTAATTATAGTAAACATAACCTTATTGATACCAGTTACGATACCATGGCAACAAAAATGGAAGTCCTAGACACCCAATATTAGGTCATTTCTTGTTTTTGCAGCACACTGAGGAAGCTGATAGGGAATGTCCTGATTTTTACACACAAACCTTCATCTCTCATCGTTATTTTAATTATCAATAGTATTGAAACGTACTGAAGCTTTAGAGAGAGAGAGAGAGAGAGAGAGAGAGAGAGAGAGAGAGAGAGAGAGAGAGAGAGAGAGAGAGAGAGAGAGAGAGAGAGAGAGAGAGAGATCTAAACTGCACACATACATTGGAAATGTTGCCAATGATTTTGTGCAATGTAGACAGTTCTCTCTCTCTCTTTTGTTCGCAGCAGCCCAGGTTAAACGTGTGACTAAAGATCAGCAGTTTTGTGATACTATTGATTATTAAAACAACAGAGATCGTATTGTTTTAAAGCACTTGGCATAGAAATGCAATGAATATTCTGACACATTTAATTTGAGTAAATCCAATCCAGTGTGTTTAGTGTGAGAAACACACCCTGACTTTGTCCGAGCACCCTGCAGCAGTCCTTAACTTCACATTTCAATCCACTTTACGGTTTATAAAAAAACAGAGGTCTGCTGACATGATCTGCTCATGCTCATGCAGGGCAGACTCCTAACTAGTTGGCACTGTGCACATCATAAGTGCTTTTTTTTGGCTATTTAATGATTCATATTCAATCAATAGAACAAAGTCAGGGAGTTGTTTTACTATATGATCCAACCCAGCAAGGAGAACATGCACATTTTCTTGGTAACCACAGTAACAATGCTTTCTCCACTGAATTGAGGTTTTCCTTTTTTCCTGACAACAACCGTTGGAAATGTTCACATGAGGTGGACTTCTTTGACTCCTTAAGCACCTGTTCTGAGATCAGAAGGCTCAAATGAGGATCATGAGAACTGTTGAATGTGTTGTACTGGATGAACAAAGTGGACTTGAGCTCATGGACGTCTCCTCCACACGAGGAGCAGGGTTATTGCATAGTCTTTAAATATGACAGCACAGAGTTTTTTAGTCCGCCTCTCCTCTCCTCGTTCACACATTGTCAAACTTGTGTTTTAAGTAGTCTTTCATGACCTTCGCAATCGGTAGCTCCTCCAGGAATTTCAAGCTCTGAAGGCCGATGCAGTGGCGGATTTTTATTCGACACATGTCTTGTAGAGTCCGAGGTTGTCCTGAAAGAGGAACAGAAAGATGTTTTACACAGAGGAAAAGGAACGTTTGTTAAATGATTTATGATCATTGAGGATGAGCTATATTTGTGTCTCTGATGAAAGAAGGCAAGAAATAGACTTTTATCTGGATGGTCAAAGTGTTGACTACTTGGGTAATGTTTCACTTCTTTTGTCCTTCAGGTAGTGGTCAAACCGCCTCAGATGTTGTAAAAACAATCAAATTAAATCCAAATGTTTCTTTTTTCAGTTACTCTACCAGTTGAGGTGGCTAAGAGACCAACGTTGATAATTTCCGTTGCTGGTAAAAAAAACAACAACGAAGTTGACAAATCCAGACAAAGTATAAAAGGTGTGAAGTGAAGCTTCATTCAGACACTGTGTGTTCACCATACTGCCTCTAATACACACAGACCTCAGAGTCAACATTTTTTATTTTGAGATCATTCAATTTAAAAGAATGTATAAAGAAAAGGTTCTGGGAAATTGTGAATGTATTGAGTTAATCTAACTGATTGTATATTGTTGATCTATTTTTTGTTTTGTGAAAGAAAGAGAAAACAACAGGTTAGCCATCTTATTCTGTTAAACAGTATCTTGTGTTATTAGGAAAGGGGCAGGTATTATAAGTTTTATTCTTCCAGCTCCTGTTTGCTCATGAACAGTGAATGAAATGACCAGTAGAAGTGTGGAAATATTCAATCGATTCATGTCAAAATCACAATTAATTATTTCTAAGATTCAGAATCTATTTGAAATGTTTCACAATCTATTTGTCAAAACGTAGTTTCTTACGTTGAATTTTCACCAGCAGCCAGTTTAAGCTCGCCTTTGGTAATCTACTCAATGCAACAACGCTGAAGAGAGTTAGACGCTCCTGGGTCGTCAGTCGTTTGGCAAACATGAGCAAGCGCTCAGTGTCTGTAATGTATGACTGTGTCTGCCATGTTTATGTACTGCCTGTACTGTCTGTGGTGCAACAAGGACTTCAGTCCGTCCCATTTCCATTAAAAGGCAACCATTAGAGCACACTTTAGATTCTGCAATCTCAGAGGTAAGAGGGATTTTTAAATTGAGTTGTGTCAAGAGATACTGAAAGATTCCCACCCCTAATTACGACGTCTGTTTGACCAACATCACTGATGATGCATGTGTAAAACGTCACAATACCAGTGTAAACTTTGAAACGCATACAGTACAGACGATATAGATACCTGATTTGATACCACAGCAACAACAACGAAAAAAAAGTCCTAGACACTCAATATTTGGTAATGAATTTATTTGAATTATAAACTGTGCTCTCACCTCCTCTGACCTCCGTCTGTTTAAGAAACACAAGTTACTTTTGAGTCATTGAGACACCAAACGGACCTGAGGAACACCACAATTTGCCACCTTATGAATCTGAATTGACAATCACTGCTCTCTTACTATCTCTCTCTTCCTCTCTCTTGGGAACTTGTGCTTAAAAATATCACTGAAGATCTGTAGCTTTTTTAAAAGCTTCTGTACGTTTCGATTCTACTGATCATTAAAAATACAGAAATTGCATGACAAGTATGAATTCTCCAATTCACTTAGCAGACGCTTTTATCCAAAGCGACGTACATCAGAGAGTAAGTACAACACAAGCAAGGATCTAGAAAAAAATGGAACAATGTCAGTAAGAGCAAACGATCAGCTCTGAGTCTGATTGGACACACAGGTGCTGACAGGAAGTGACCAGAGGCAAAGCACAACATTGACGGCAGTTCTTGATAATCAGTATAGAAACCATCTTATAAGTCATCGTTATCAAACAAAAAAAATTGTCATTACCATCATCATCATCAATAATATGGAGACCATCATCATTAAGTTAGTAGGTATTCATGAAAGAGCTGGGTCTTTAGCTTTTTCTTAAAGGTGCAGAGGGACTCTGCAGATCCAATGGAGTTTGGAAGTTCATTCCACCACCGGGGGGCGACAGAGGAGAAGAGTCTAGTCAGAGACTTTGGACCCTGCTGTGAAGGTTGGATCAGATGCCTTTCATTGGCAGAGTGTAATGGGTGGGAGGGAGTGTAGACCTAGATCAGAGAGTTAAAGTAAGGAGGAGACGTTTTTGTGTCTGTTTTGTAAGAGAGCAGCAGAGTTTTAAATTTGATGCGAGCAGTAACTGGGAGCCAATGTAAGGAGATGAACAGCGGAGTAACATGTGTCCTTTTAGGAAGGTTGAAGACCATTTTGTATCATTTGCAGAGGTTTGATAGTGCATGTAGGAAGATCTGCCAGTAGAGAGTTGAAATAGTCGATGTGTGATATCACAAGAGTCTGTACCAGGAGCTGTGTAGCGTGTTCTGACAGGTAAGGTCTGATCTTCCTAGAATTTGTTTTTAGAGAAAATGTCAGCTGATCAGTGAACTGATAATGGTCTCCCCGGGATGGCAATGAAAATATAATGTATTTCACTGCTCTACCAACTCTTCTCTCTAATCTGATTGGTCCTCAATAAATCAGAATTAGGATACAAGTAAATCAAGAGTTTGTGTAGTGGTTTTACAATTCTGACTTTGGCTTCTTCTAGTGGGAACATTGTCACTGAATCTCCCAAAATTGTACATCACATGTGAAGCTTCAAACTTCTTGTACAGTTTTCAAACATCTATCCACATGCAGTAAATGTTCACATCCACTGTGTTATCAGCTGGATGCAAACAGGCAGGAAGGAACAACCTTGTTTCCAGGAAGTGATGTGTGTTATCAGCCTGATGCCTCGGGCACAGACACAGAATCACCTCAACACTCTGTAGGTGGGAGGGCGGGGTTCCAGCTCAATGGACTGCATGACATTAAACTGTTAATCTGAGGCCATCCACTGACATTCACTGTACTGAGATGGAATCTCAAAACATCCTCCTACATCATGACCCAGTGGAAAACTATTCATTTAACTAACCTATTGAGGAACAGCCTACTATCAGAGATTGGCAAAGGACGAAAAAGCAAGAAAATATGAAAAAATATATATAATATTTTCTTTCAAACAGTAGCAGTAAACACCCAAAAAAACACAACAACTCTGGTTTTAAAACGTTTGTTATTAGTCATTTTACGTTTAAATTATAACAGCTGTTATAATGAAGCAAAACTAAGAGAGTGGGGGGGATTTCCTGAGGTAAGACGTCATCAGAACCAAAAACATAATGCAGCCATTTAATTACGTGCACGGAGATCGTAGTAGTCGCGTGCAGACACTTTAGCCGGTCACTGTATATAAACGACATTCTCTTTCTATTGGCTCGAGTTGAAATCTCTGGAGTATATTCAGCCGTGTTCAGACATCTGGCCGGAGAAACTCCGGGTAAAGTCTGCGTGAAAAAAAAGACCCTAAACCAAATCTCCCAGAGTTTTTCAGGAGATTTCTGTATGTGTGAAAAAGGTTCAAATAAAAGCAGGAGAAAGGACAGATGTGTGTGTTCTGCCAGACAGACAGCAAGAGGAGCAGAGGAGTGTGTGTGAGTCAGTGAATGATAGCAACAGAGAGATGATCACCGAATGCAACAACAAGCTTTAAAAAGATTTTAGATAATCTGGACAAGCAGTGAGGGACTGAAGTCTTGATGGTTTCATAATATAAGTCACCTTTTAAAAGTAATTCAAAGTATATCAGTATTTTGTCATCAGTATAATCTTAAAGTGTGTATTTACGTGGTTGAGGAGTGAAGGAAAGCAAAACTGTTTTAAACACGTTGTGGAGTTTATATTTGTATTTTTTGTGCTGGTCCATGGCATGGTAAAGCTTCAATGTAACAAAGCCTCTCGACATTTAGTTTGTCATTTAGTTTTTTCAAGTAATTATGTAGAATTTATTTTATTTTACAGCTAAGGGATGTTCATGCAACTACGGTGTCTGTGTTCTGTTTTTGAATAAAGTTATGGAAAAAAAAAAAAAATCTCTAGATGAATTGATTATTAAAATAATCATAAATTAAAGACCTACTGTACATTCAAATAGAGACCTCTCGCTCTCTGATCCCCTGCAGAGCACATAGACGCCACTCAAAGCATCAAACAAGTCTTATCTCGAGACGCTTTACAAAAAGCAGGTAAAATATCTTACTTAATGCTATATTACAAAGACCCTGCTTAATCTATCATGAGCGTAGCAACATTTAGAAAATGTTACAGTGGCAAGAAAAACTTTGTGTTTTATCAGAGTGTGTGTGAGAGCATCTGCAGTTCATCCACTAGTTTGTCGATCTCTGATGGCGACCCTTACAGATAAAAAAAAAGATCAAATGTAAAAATAGTCGTAAAAAACACCGGGGCGGCCTTAAATATACCTGAGTGAGAGGCACACCCAGGTATAGTCTATAGTTGGCCAACACTTTTATACAATTTAAATCCATATAACTCTGTAGGAAACAAAATCCTGATTAATAAAAACACTTTGTTGGTGTGTTTTGTGCATCACTGAAGAAAAGAAAATTCAAGTGTCTAGAGAGAAAAGAGAAGCTCAAATCAATCTCTTCACAGACAATGATTCCTCTGCAGCCTCTAAACTGTCCAGTCAACATGAATTAATTGTCCCATTATCCATCACTCTTATCCTGTTCAGGGTCATGGGGGGATAGGAAAATAATATTTTAACTGTCTTAGTAGATTCCCCCACTACTCCCTGCATTAGGTTTACTCGCCTACCAGGTCCAGGATAAAACAGAGAGGTAGGTCCTGTTTCAGTGTGTGACATGAGAAAAAGCTGCAGGGAGCAGCACTGACGTGTGCAGCTGTTGAAAAGAGCTGGGTGCCTGTCACTCGGTATGGGACAAGCCTTTCATGGTGTATGAGTTAATCCAGGAGCAGAGGTGTAATCAATAAGGCAGCAGATATGTGATCTGTCTGAGGGTTTGGAGTCTCTGAAAGGCCTTGTCAGAATCAGAGAACAGCCCTTTGATATCTTTGATATCAAAGTTGAGGGGGCAGGAGGAATGCAGCCATTGTTCCCTGTAAATCAGAATGCTTCAGGTAATGTGCTCTCCTGTTCATCCTACCTGGGATTGTTCTGCGGCTGAACACTGTTCATTATGACCTCGTGTTTCTCTCTTTACATGTCTCACTTTTTTCCCTCCTCTCAGATTACAATAAAAAACCTCTGTCACTTTTTGCATTAAATGGGAATCAACCCCACCCATCCCTCACATTTCTTTTCATGCTGATTACTCATACTGAACAAGCCGGTAACGTGGGCTCATATTCTGGCTTCAAATCATAGTGTTCATTTTCAAAGTAAAGGAGTAAATTCTGGTGTTTATAATTCATCATTTTCTAAATGTTCAGGTTGAAATGACTGCGCCCAGTGAGCCTGTTTAAAAGCTGTTTAAGAAGTATCTGTGGACATCACTGAAAGATGTTTTAAACAGGTTCAAACATGACTGTGTTTTCTACGACTATTTGAAGACTTGGATTAAACGTCTTTTTCACCGGGACATCTGTCACAAGATTTAGCACACATTCACACATTGTGATGAATCTCATACTTACAACTGCTAAAATGATTGTGAAAGTGAGCAGTGTATCACAGTCATCATCTGAAATAACGCACGCAGAAGTTCACCTGGTTTTGGCCTTCATTCAAGTCCAATACTCTCTGCCGTCAACTACAAACATTTCTACTAAACTGTCCTCCTCGTGTCAGGTACAAAATATTCACGTCAGCACCCAGGGGTGTTTCTGTCTAGTAGTCAGAGCTGTATAGTTTAAGTACTTGCACATGCCTCTGATGTTGAAAAGTGAAGGGTTATGTTGTTTTGAATTACTAAAAATTGCAGGCAAACTTGTGTCTAAATTGCACAAATACATCAGCAACGTTTAGAAAAATGTTGCCAATGTATTAGTACAATTAAGACAATGGTCTCTCTCTTTCTCTCAGCTTGGGTTAAAATATGACTGAAATTCTGATTTGTTCTTTTTTAAATACTATTAATAATCAAAATTATAGAGATATTAACATTTTAAAACACAAGGTATCTAAGTGTATTAAAAAGCTATTTTTATTTTAATAAAAAAAATAAAAAAATCTTCTTCCTCAACAGAAAGGACGACGTCTATAGGGAAACCTCTCTGTAATGTCGAGACACTTAAAATAAAGACGTGAGCCGGTCTGTGACAAAAACAACAACTGTCAGTGGATTATAATGCAGCTGTTTCATCACCACTCGAGAAATCTACTGGAGCATTTTGAAAACGTTCTGTACCTCTAGACTCAGCTCAAGTTAAAAACTACTGGGCATCCTTTCAAGTTTTTATGAAACATGTTATCATTTCTCTACTAAAACTGTGCAATCTATTGGACAATATTTATACATCAAAAGTGCAATCTATACATGAACCGTGCAATATCGACACAATCCATCAGTGTATATTCAGATTTGTAAATATTGTTTATATTTTCAATTACCTGCGCTTGAACATAGCTTATTACTTATACTACTTTATTATTGCTTTCACTTGGTACTTATGCTTATTATATTGTTATTACTATTTTTATTTTATATAGTGAACTTGTCTGTACTTCCTACTGATTTTTGGTGTTATGAGCAACTGAAGCAAACAAATTTAATAAAGTATTTCTGATTCTGATATCCCTTATTTTTATTGTAAACATGGTTATTATTGATGCACTTTGTTGACTTACTGTTTTTTTTTGGGTGATATCAGTGTGTTTACTGTTCTCACTCCCACAGTGGAACAGGTGTGTGTGATGATGAGTGTGAAGTTGTGACTCACTTGTGACCTCCTGCAGAAAGTCCAGACACGGCCGGCTGATCCCGGACATGCTAACAGAAACAGCTACCGGCGTCTGGCCCTCATAGTTCCTGGTGTTGATGTCGGCCCCATACATGTAGAGCATCTGGGCACACAACACGTCATCCCTGAGGGCCGACAGGTGCAGGGGTGTCTGACCGTCTTCAAGGCGTCCCAGGTTAGTGTCCGCTCCCCTCTGCAGAAACATGCGGCAGTACGAGTGGTTGCCTTTGATGACGGCGTATCGCAGCAGGAAGCCGTTTTGAATGTCAATGTTGGCGCTGTGGTCCAGCAGGATCCGCACGCAGCTGGAGCGCTCGCGGATGATGGCCAACTGCAGCGGCGTGGTGCCTTTGTCGCTCAGCGGGTCCACCTCGGCCCTGAACTCGAGGAGGAGGCGCACAAACGAGTCTCTGCCGTAGTGGGCGGCCACGTGCAGCGGCGTCCAGCCGTCATTGCTCTTTGCGTTTATAATGTCACTGCGAAACTCCGATTCCAGCATCAGTCGAGCGATGCGTGCTCTTCCGTGCATGGCAGCGTAGTGGAGAGCTGTGAAGCCTCCGATGAAGTCTTTCACTGTGGGGTCGGCTGCACACAGAGGGGGCAGAGAGGGGGGTTCAGAGAACAGTCAGATACTGCAGGAGATGATCGCACAGATTGTGATAAATAATCATCAACTCTACAGTCCACTTTCTATTTCTTCTGCCACAAAGATCCTCCTCTCTGCTGGTGATGGATTTTTTTAACATGTGAAGGTTTCATAAAGATCCTGATTAATCCACACTAAAGAGCACACCAGCACATTTTCAATTCTGACATGATTCTACAACATAAGGAGGTGTTGTGTTTCTTAAGATGCATACTACAAAAGAGTTCAGACCACACATTTTCATTATTAATTACATCTTTAAAAAGTATGACTTTTCTTTATTTTACAGAGCATCAAGGTATTTTGAAATTAATCAATACACTAAAACTTCATGAGGGATGTATTGGGATACATTTAATGATTAATTTCAGTGATTGTTTGCAGTTCTTAGAAGCAGATCTGTACATTTTCCCCCGCACACACATTAAACAGCAGCTGTTAGTACGTTAGGGTTGTTTTAAACATAGAGCTGGTTCTAGTAAAAGATTAAAGAAATTCATACTAGTTTGTTACCAGGGCAACAAAAACAAACAACCCAATTTATAAGAGCAGTCGAACGTCACTTCCGGCTCGCCAGAGTGACCATGCCCCCGTTTGGGTAAAAACAAGCCCTGAGAATGTATCGGCGGTAGATTAGAAAACACTGGTAGCTGTGAGATTAAATGCGATTGTAAAGCTTTTTGTACTTCAAACTATTTTAAAAATACAATTTAGTATCGGGACAAAGGAGGGTAAAAGAAGAGCTGTGTGTGTTTGGACCGAAACTAGAGAGTATTAAAGTGGTAAATTGTGGGACCGCTGTCATGTTCCTGCTAGCTTTAAAGCAGAAGAGGAGTCTGTTAACAGATTCTTTAAACCTTTCATTCACTAACGTATTAACAACACTTCAACTGTCACGTCACATAAATATGTTGGTGAAAATGTCTCTAAACGAAGGAACACTACACCAAATCCTCTTACTGAAAAATAAATGTCAAAATAAAAAGTTTGCTAGCTCGATATAACACCTCGTCTCGCCCCACTCGTCATTATTTACACTCACTATGAATACAAAAGGTTTTAATGTCATCCAGGTGACTTTACATGTTATTCTTTTCTAAATCAGCTGATAACTCAGAGCTTATGTAAACGTCTGTAACCTCTCCATTACAGCTATGAACACTGTTAGAAACTATTACAAATAAATATTTAAAAATAAAGATCCCTCTCAGGTAACACGGTTAATAATTACTCATCAGGTGTTTAAAGTCAGTTTATGACTCCTCTGATGACTCGTTTGAGCAGTTTGACGGAGAGAGATTGAACAGACACTCACGTACACGGTTCATCACCGTTATGATGCCGATCTCTGTTCAGAAATGTCATATTTTAAATGTTTACATCACTGGTCATCAGATTTAGGCTCATACTTGCAGTTTTAAAGTACGGTTTTATTTTTTTAAGACTTTAAATCGGTAAAGACCCCAACTTTTCCATTAACGGCCATTCATTCAGATGGAATGATTTCACTCAGAAAGGGGCGTGGCCAGCATCGTTTGGGCAAAGTACCCAGATGGGATGCTCTCATGAATATTGCATAATTTCTTGTGTTTAAATACTGAAAATTGTGAGTAAACTTTCCATGAAATCATGAGACCTTTGCAAATCATTCAGTGTGAAACCATTTGTAGCCATTAAAATAGGACAAATCGCTGACCTGCACTCCAAACATGAAAAACACTCTGCTTGTATTTTAAATCCAGATTTTAGAAAAAAAGAACGGGCTTACATTTAAAAACATTTTCCATATTCTTCTTTTTTTCAACACTTATTGAGACCAACAAATAAATAAAATCCAATTTCATACATGTATAGAATGCAGATAATTCTGAGTCTGATATATATTTTTTTTTACAAACACAATTTGTTTGAATCCGTTCTCTGACTCTACATGTTTGTTCAACACTTTGAAGTCTTTCTGCTCCCATGGATTTGAATCCTCCTGTATTATAAGGCCCTCTAGTGTTTGTACAGCATAATAAAAAAGAGACAGAGTGTGTGTGTGTGTGTGTGTGTGTGTGTGTCAGTGTGTCTGACCTCCATGCTCCAGAAAGACTCGCACACATCTCTCCTTCCCTTTGGCAGCAGAGAAGTGAAGCAGCGTCCAGCCGTTGGCGTCTCGGATCTTCGGCGAGTATCCTTGCTCCAGCATCCTCCGGACGGTGTAGACGTCCCCCGCTGCCACGGCAGCCTGAATCTGCAGCTCCTCATGAAGCTCAGGGTTCCTTCTGCATTGATGGTTCAGCATCCTTTCACATTGGGGGGAGAGAGAATGTTTACTTGTGCTGAACATCAGGGGGGGGGGATTTCTGCTGAAATAGAACTTCTGATTCTACCTTTCAAAATACTACAAGTTTCAGACTTTCCTTGAGTCCTATGCACACCTGGCAGACAGTTACCCTGCACAACAAGACGGTGAACTCCTGCATATTGTCGGCACTACAATTCTACAATTCACTTAGCAGATGCTTTTATCCAAAGCGACGTACATCAGAGAGTAAGTACAACACAAGCAAGGATCTAGAAAAAAGGGAACAATGTCAGTAAGAGCAAACGATCAGCTTTGAGTCTGATTGGACACACAGGTGCTGACAGGAAGTGACCAGAGGCAAAGCACAACATTGAGGGCAGTTCTTGAGAGCTCTAATCAGTATAGAAACCATCTTATAAGTCGTCGTTATCAAACAAAAACCATCGTCACAACCATCATCATCATCATCATCAATAATATGGAGACTGAAAGGAACTGAAGCTGAGTTCATAATGTCAACAAAATTTGGGATGATACATTTTTTTCCTGTCAAATTAGTAATAAAACTTAAATGATAAACATACCAATTACCAGTATGTTAAAATCAATGTTCACAATGCCATGACGAATAAAGTAGAGACTAAATAACTGGCAACCTGTGGAGACATTATTCTCATATTTATTATCCCAACAGAAGACTGAGGGGTGAATGCACTACAGAATGAGCAAGCTGGAGCTAAATGCCACATGAAAGGTGCATCATTTGCTCCCGCTGTCTGCTCCGTGTCAAGTTTACAACAAGAACATAAACAGGAATGATTTGAAGGTGTAAACACACCCATAAAGAGTAGCAGCTCCGTGCTGTCAGCATTTCTTCTCTCGCTCTGCGCTCTCATCGTGGTAACGATAAGGGCTGAACGATATCGCATTTCACAATTCGTTTTGCGCATGCACAATGGTCACATCTCACAGACGCGGGGTGTCAGTCAAGTGAGCTGAAGCACATCTTTTCACTTTCAATCTTGTTTTACCAGGCAAACCCCAAACCGTCAGATTTCTTATTCCCATGACTAATGTACAACAAAAGTCTGTCTCATATCTCCATGAGTAGTCAGAGAGTGTGTGTGTCCCCTGCATGTGAAAGAGTTCAGGCTACAGGTCACACTGCTGCTGTTACACATGGCACCGGCATGTCGCTCGGAGCAGACTCTCAATCACAGACTAAACATGAGTGTATTCACAGTGCTTGTTAATTCTGTGACCACATAACGGAGTGGATGTGCTGCTGTTTGTTCACTGTAAGCAGCTACACCTGCAGAGACACGATGAGTTATGATTTAGTAATAGTCGATGACGTTTACGTGACATAGTAACAAGTTTATGAAGACACATGTAGCTCCACTTTTTCTCTCTCCATCTCTCCTCCTGCAGGATTTCAGCTTTCCAACCGTTCAGGGACTACTTTGTCTCATTTTACGTTTCATAATGCTCTAAATATTTTCAATGGGTGACAAGTCAGGACTGCAAGAAGGTCAGTTATTGGGACTCTTTCCATGGAGCCATGCAGATGTAATACATCCAGAAAAGGGGGTCGGCATTGTCTCATGAAATAAGCAAGAGCTTCCCCAAAAAAAGACAACTTCCACTAGTATTAATCATCACATTGTTTCTTTTGACATCTTTTAAAACATCTTTTGGAAGCTGAGTTGTATGAACAACATTTGAAAAAAAGGTTCATTGCATATTTTTCATGCAATGTTTACATTTTTATGTTAATTGATTTCCCATTAGTTTCTTTATTTGAATCCGAGTATGAATCGAGTAGAAGGACAGTAACGTACCTTTTGACAAGCTGCAGAGACGTGCTTCTCTTAGTCATATCGGAGCTGCACCTGTAAATATACAGCTGCACCACAGAGAGGGAAAACAGGAGGCACTCTGCGGAGAGAAACACAAAAAAAAGAAAAAGACTGACAAGGTGGAAAACTGTGAACACTCACATTTTCAAACAGCCATGATTATCAACTTTAAAGTCCATGGTTTATGTTGATTTTGAGGCCGCCTGTGGACAAAACTGTTCTTTTTTTTAAATCTCTTCCCTGATTTTGTCTCAAACACGTATTAGTCATGTTTTCTTATAAAATAATGGATCCTGCTTTCTTTTAAAAGTTAAACCTAACAACCAACATGAATATTTGCTCTGGAGTTGTTACAATAACAGAATGTAAAACCTAGAAATGATTCTAGGAAAAATAAAACATTGTCCATTTTTTTATTTATTTAGAATGTATTAAACCAGGAAAACCTCACTGAGATTTAAGAATCTCATTTACAAGAGTGTCCTGGCCAAGAGGGGCAGCAACACAATAAACAAGTTAAAGACATAAAAACCTTTAACGTAATCACAGACACAGATCGACATATCTTCAGTGACATGTTTCAATACCAAAGCATCAAAAGTACAAGTCCTGCACATACTGGGTCTTTACTTGTTTTCTAATCATAAAAATTGCAAGTAAACTCCCTGCACACAGTCTAAAGGGCAGGACGATGTTGGCAATGTTTTGGTGCTAAAAACATTTCAAAGGTTGTTGTAAAATGATAACCTGTGCAGGAGTTTACTTGATCATTCCTCTCCTACACTAATGTCTCATGGAATAGATGTGGAAAATCTTTCCCTCCTCTGTTATTAAAAGCAACATGTACACAGCTCTATTAGATACATAAAGTTAACTTTTCCATCTTTATGAGGCGCCAAAAGGACTTGGAAAATGCCAGTATGTAGATCTGTGAATTTGAATGGACCACGGCTGTTCTCTCTCTTTCTGTTGCGGCAACTTCCATCCATCCATTATCTATACCGCTACTTCCCGTTCGGGGTCATGGGGGGCTGGTGCCGATCCCAGCTGTCATTGGGCGGGAGGTGAGGTACACCCTGGACTGTTCCCCAGTCAATCACAGGTCTGACATATAGAGACAAGAAAACCAACCACACTCACATTCACACCTACAGGAAATATAGAGTCACCAACTGACATGTCTGTGTACTGTGCACATGCACGGGGGAGAACATCCAAACTCATCACAGAGAGGCTTCTGTCTGACAGGGATTCCAACCATGACCGTGCTGAATCACCAGAAGTTGCAGGAAAACTCTTGCACACCAGTCTAAATTTTACACATCATTTGGGTATATTTGCGCAATTTAGACAATGATCTCTCTCTCTTTTGCTTGAAGCAATCAGTGAGAAAAGGACTGCAGCTTCTACACACGCAGAATGAAATCAGTGCACAAGTACTGTACAGATTTGATCGTTTTCAAACACGTGGTATCAAAAAGTATGGAAGTATCAAACATTTTGACAAACCTGCCACGCAGGAAATTTATAGAAAAAGCCTGTTTTGGCTGAGTGCTTTTAATCATTGTCATCTGATAATACCCAGCAATATTGGATGGACTCAATCCTCTCCTAAGCATGTCTTATTAAACTGATATGCAAAACATTGTTCTACTTTGCTTTTTAATTACCAACATGTACACAGTGCTGTAAGACACATAATCGTAACTTTTGCATCTTTATAAGAAGCCAAAAGGACTTGAGAAATGTGAATGGACCGCTGCTTTCTGTATGTTTTGGTTAACGGTATCGATACCAATTTTGATGCCACAGTGACTTAAAAAAAAGTCTCAGACACCCAGGAGGCATACTCCTGCAAAAACGTTGTTTTTGTGCAATTTAGACAGTGTGCAGCAGTTTTTTTATATCGATGTCATGATACAACTACTTAGAATACTATTTATCATTAAAATAAAAATATTGGATCGTTTAAAAACATGTAGTATCGAAAAGTATCGAAAAGTATCAAAGTATCGACGACTTTAACAACCTTTACTCACTACGGCAGCTAAGCTGCAAAAAGGACAGATTTAAAAATACTTTTTTATCTACTGCAATTGCACTTTATAACGACTCCCCTTTAAATAAGGACAGAAGACATTTAAACTTTAGCCTGAGTTGCATATATCAAACTGTATTTTGCATACCTGACTGCTTTTTTATAACAATTCTTTATTTATTTATCATATTTTGTACTGTTATCTTTGAGTAACAGCTACTAATGCACATGGACCATGCATACCACTTTTTTATCCTGGCTATGTATTGTGGGCTCATGTTTTTTGTATGGGTGGGACATGTACGCATGTGTTGTGTTGTGTGTTTGTATGTGTATATGTGTGTTGTGTTGTGTGTTTGTATATATGTGTTGTGTTGTGTGTTTGTTTGTTTGTATGTGTTGTGTGTTTGTATATATGTGTTGTGTTGTGTGTATGTGTTGTGTTGTGTGTTTGTATGTATATGTGTTGTGTTGTGTGTATATATGTGTTGTGTTGTGTGTATATATGTGTTGTGTGTTTGTATATATGTGTTGAGTTGTGTGTTTGTATGTATGTGTTGTGTGTTTGTTTGTTTGTATGTGTTGTGTTGTGTGTTTGTATATATGTGTTGTGTTGGGTGTATGTGTTGTGTTGTGTGTTTGCATGTATATATGTGTTGTGTTGTGTGTATATATGTGTTGTGTGTTTGTATATATGTGTTGAGTTGTGTGTTTGTATGTATGTGTTGAGTTGTGTGTTTGTATATATGTGTTGTGTTGTGTGTTTGTATATATGTGTTGTGTTTGTATATATGTGTTGTGTGTTTGTATATGTGTGTGTTTGTGTTTGTATGTATGTGTGTGTTGTATATAGTGTTGAGTTGTGTGTTTGTATATATGTTGTGTGTTTGTATATATGTGTTGTGTGTTTGTATATATGTGTTGAGTTGTGTGTTTGTATGTATGTGTTGTGTTTGTATATATGTGTTGTGTTTGTATATATGTGTTGTTGTGTGTTGTATATATGTGTTTGTGTGTGTATGTGTTTGTATATATGTGTTGAGTTGTGTGTTTGTATATGTGTTGTGTTGTGTGTATGTATATATGTGTTGTGTTGTGTTGTGTGTATATATATGTGTTGTGTTGTGTGTATATATGTGTTGTGTTGTGTGTATATATGTGTTGTGTTTGTATATATGTGTTGAGTTGTGTGTTTGTATATATGTGTTGTGTTTGTATATATGTGTTGAGTTGTGTGTTTGTATATATGTGTTGTGTTTGTATATATGTGTTGTGTTTGTATATATGTGTTTGTATGTATATATGTGTTGTGTTGTGTGTATATATATGTGTTGTGTTTGTATATATGTGTTTGTATGTATATATGTGTTGAGTTGTGTGTTTGTATATATGTGTTGTGTTTGTATATATGTGTTGAGTTGTGTGTTTGTATATATGTGTTGTGTGTTTGTATATATGTGTTGTGTGTTTGTATATATGTGTTGTGTGTTTGTATATATGTGTTGTGTTGTGTTTGTATATATGTGTTGTGTGTTTGTATGTATATATGTGTTGTGTGTATATATGTGTTGTGTGTTTGTATATATGTGTTGAGTTGTGTGTTTGTATGTATGTGTTGTGTTGTGTGTTTGTATATATGTGTTGTGTTTGTATATGTGTTGAGTTGTGTGTTTGTATATATGTGTTGTGTTGTGTGTATGTGTTTGTATATATGTGTTGAGTTGTGTGTTTGTATATATATATGTGTTGTGTTGTGTGTATGTATATATGTGTTGTGTTGTGTGTATATATGTGTGTTGTGTTGTGTGTATATATGTGTTGTGTTGTGTGTATATATGTGTTGTGTTTGTATATATGTGTTGAGTTGTGTGTTTGTATATATGTGTTGTGTTTGTATATGTGTTGAGTTGTGTGTTTGTATATATGTGTTGTGTTTGTATATATGTGTTGTGTTTGTATATATGTGTTTGTATGTATATATGTGTTGTGTTGTGTGTATATATGTGTTGTGTTGTGTATATATATGTGTTGTGTTGTGTGTTTGTATATATGTGTTGTGTTGTGTGTTTGCATATATGTGTTGTGTTGTGTGTATGTATATATGTGTTGTGTTGTGTGTATATATATGTGTTGTGTTGTGTATATATATGTGTTGTGTTGTGTGTTTGTATATATGTGTTGTGTTGTGTGTTTGTATATATGTGTTGTGTTGTGTGTTTGTATATATGTGTTGTGTTGTGTGTTTGTATACATGTGTTGTGTTGTGTGTTTGTATATATGTGTTGTGTTTGTGTGTTGTGTTGTGTGTTTGTATGTATGTGTTGTGTGTTTGTGTTGTGTTGTGTGTTTGTATGTATGTGTTGTGTTGTGTGTTTGTGTGTATGTGTTGTGTTGTGTTGTGTGTATGTGTTGTGTTGTGTATGTATGTGTTGTGTGTTTGTATGTATGTGTTGTGTTGTGTGTATGTGTTGTGTGTATGTGTTGTGTTGTGTGTATATATGTGTTGTGTGTTTGTATATATGTGTTGTGTTGTGTGTTTGTGTGTATATATGTGTTGTGTATGTGTGTATGTGTGTATGTGTTGTGTTGTGTGTATATATGTGTTGTGTGTTTGTATATATGTGTTGTGTTGTGTGTATATATGTGTTGTGTTGTGTGTTTGTATGTATGTGTTGTGTTGTGTGTATATATGTGTTGTGTTGTGTGTTTGTATATATGTGTTGTGTGTTTGTGTGTATGCTGGCTGCTGGAACACTTACATTTCCCTGCTGGGATGAATAAAGTATATCTTATCTTAATATATTGGTATAATATAAACAACATAGTAAGATGAGATGATTGCTAGTACAGTAAGACGTCTCTCTTCAAAGCTTACCTGTTTAACACAGGTTTAAAAACCAGCTAACGCCCCGTTTCGACCTAATGACTGAAACCTAACCAGGTAGAAACCTGTGCAGCACATTTAACAGTAAACATCATGAGTCTTGTGTCGCTAGCTTAAACATGAAAAACAATGGACAAAAGAATGGCTGTATTTGCTAACATAATGAGAAAAAAAACGATAACCAACAAAAAACGAACTAGCTTAGTAAGCAAACGAAAAAAAGACGTTTCACACAAGCAGGACATATTTTAAACATGACATTCCCTAAAAAAACCCTTTAATTTCAGCTAATATTACCCCAGGTTTGTAAGCTAACGCTGCTTAGCCGACAAGCTAACAAACTCAGCAGCGGTAGCTCGGTAGCTTGTGTTGACATTTTCTATTCAGTGTTAACACATGAAAGTAAATACACAGAGTATAAAGATATGAAGGTGGTTTCATGTATTTACTGACAAACAGAGCAGAAAAGAGTAAAACAAAGACTTACTGACAGACACGGTGAACTCAGCCAATCAGACGGAAGAATGAGAAGCAGTCAAAGCTGCTTCGACTCAAAGAAAACACTTAAGCTCATTAATATCTGTTCAAAAGTTCCCTACATGTCCGTCACTGTAGTGCTGGGCATCATGTCGCTGTTCAACAATCAGCTTTACCTAAAAGTCTCTGTAAGTTTGACCCCTCAGCAAAAACAATAAAACTTCCACCTCCAATCCTTCAGAATAAAAACACGGCACCTTCTTCTTCTACGGTGGAGTTTACGGCAGACATCATCAGTTACTGCCCCCTTCGGTTGCCTTAGAGAATGCAGTGACATAAAACACCCATGTTCAATTATTTAAACAATCTAAATAACATTTAAACGCCTCATTTACCAGATTTAAAAATAAATTAGCTGAATTTTCTGCACAAAAGTTTGATATAAATAATAGTAAAATAATCCCTCCATTCCCCTCGAACCCCACACAGGACTATCTCACTGGACTGTAAAATACAATATAACATACATCACAAACGTGCAATATATTTATCTGTATAGAAATTTTATACATCTATGTGAATACTTGCTGCTGTTTTTATCCTGTAGTAACGAGTAAATGCAACGAAATTTCGTTCTTATCTGCACTGTAAAGTACAAGTTTGAATGACAATAAAGAAAAGTCTAAGTCTAAGTGTAATAATACAATGCTGAGATTTGGTTAAATCATTTACAGGCTATCTTGGTTTAACAAGGAGCATGATTGATCCCAGAAACCACAAAATTAAAATACCCAATTCTCCAATCTTCCGAAATAAAAAGAAATGCATGTTATGTCATCAAGGCCCAACCATCACTTGAATTCATTAGAACAAGATTTAAATTTGAAGCAGAAACCTGTTAGGCCTATCATATCCAGCGCAAATTTAGAGACATCAGAACTGTCTTGTGTTTGTGATACAGTTCATAAACTATGGAAATATTTTCATGATTGGCTTCGATCCACTTCCAAAAAGATAACAACAATTTATTCCTTTTTTTTTTTAAATCATCAGAACGAAATGTACATAAATGTTTGCTTAACCCCTTCCAGTGTGGATTATTAAAATAAATCTATACAAATGTATAATAGTATGACCATGTCATCCTTAATTTATAATTATATCAGATGTAGGCCTATTTGTTTTTTAAATGTCCAAGTAGGCCTATTTTTTGCACAAATATAAATTCTAAAAGTTACCACATGAATTGTTAAATAATCTCTGAAATGTACAAGATTTAAAAAATGCCTTATAGCTTCATGAGTGCTTTTCTAATCTACACTTCACACTTATTTACTTTATTTATTCACTTCCCTTTTGATTTTTGGCTTTCTTGTCCCTTTTGTGTCATAGTTTTGTGTCATACTGGTCTTGTTGACTAACCTTTGTGTTGTTTACATTCGCTTAGTCTGTTACAGTATTTTTGTCAGAAGTTATCGTGCTTTGTAAATGTGTCCAAAAAAGATTAGGAGGTGAAAGTAATTGAAATTAGAACTGAGAAAGGACTTTCATATGCCGAAGCTGTTAAAAGACTGGGGAAAATTCAATTCAATTCAATTCAATTCAAAAAACTTCATATTCATAAAATATTTAAAATTGTAGTTGGATAAAAAAGACAATACAATAATGTTAAGATTTGAATTGATATAAAGCACTATATAAAAGCCAGACTGAATAAATGAGTTTTAAGACTGCGTTTAAAAATCTCGATATTCGATATTTAAGCTTTTTAAAAATCGGTAGGTGGCGGTAATGCAACACAGATGGATGCCAACCGACATTAAACACCACAGAAGAAGAAGCATTCACCAAATAGAAGGTTGTAGCTTCCGTGTGCATCACATGACCGGTGGATCGTGGCCGGTGGATCCGGTAGCTGGAGCAGCAGCAGCATGGAGCACGGAGTGCGCAGCGGGCAGGGTCCCCCTCTCACACAGGTGTACAGGTGTCTCCTGACGGGCCGCTGCCCCGACTGGACCGCTGCGGAGGTGGCGGACGTCGTATGCTCCGCGGTGTGCGGACCGGTGCCCGGTGGTGAGGACAGAGAGCGTTGTCATGACAACAGCGTGGCGCTGTCCTGCATGAGCGTGAGTCTGGTGGACAAGATCGCCTCCTGCCTGACGTCACGGAGCGTCAGTCCTGCGGTGACGTCATACTGCGAGGAGGTCCTGAGGCTGCTGCTCGGAGACGGGGATCTCATGTCTCAGCTCGTAAGTGACTGCACGATTGATCAAGATCTAACATGATTATTATGATCTAATGCTGTCAAAAACGATACGTCTCGATACCAGATATGTTTTAAAATATCGATGATATTAAAAAGAAACTTAAAAACAAATACAGATCTACAGCCAAATTTTGAACCAGAATTGAAAGCAAGCACTAAAAATTGGAGAGGAGAATGCTTACTCATCTCCTGCTCCTCCATCTAGTCAAAGTGTTGCTAACATACAGTAGTTGTTCCAATATTGTGTGCCTAGAAGAACTTCTGTTTTTGTTGCCATGGTTTAGAATCAGGTGGTTTCACATGTAGTTCTACAATAACATGTTAAAATCCTACCGCTCTACAGGTGCATCTGTTCCAGTCCAAGGACCTGATCGTCTCACACCTGGCTGCTAAGAGTGTGTCAACGTGTGTTTTCTATTCTCTACAAACATCAGTGAGTTCTCTTGTCTGCTTTTTATAAACACTATGCAAGTCTTTATCAGGATCAGAAATACTTTATTAATGCTTCGACGTTACAGTAATACATATTACAACAGGAGATATATGAATAGAATAAGAACTATAAGAAATAAAGCAACATGAACAAAAAGTGTAGTATTGGACGGTAGAGATATTGCAGAGTTTTGCAAAGTTGGTTCACAGTGCACACTTGTGTTATATTAATGCAATAACAGAATATGGCTATTTTGTTTGTCACTCTTTTCTTGTAACTAGTGATGAACAAAAGCAGCTTGCTTTAAAACGATGAAAACTGTTATTATTTTGTGATTGATCAGCTCAAAAAGTACCAAAACTTTGAAAAAACAAAACGTCACATCATCAGTCATATTCAGGGAGAGAGCAATGTATTTGTGCAATTTACGTCTGTTAGGTTACTAATCACTGTATGCAGGAGTTTGTTGGAACTTTTGACACAACCCTGTTTTAAAAGTTTGTGTAAAATATAAACAAAAGCAGAAAATAATGGATTGCAAAACATTTAAACTCCATATTTAAATATAAGAGAACAAATACAACATTGAGCAATCTCATTGTTTTTGGAAAATTATTAGCACTTAGAGAATTTGAAGCCGGCAACACGTTTAAAAAAACGCAACAAGGTCATGGTTAGCACTCTGTTCGTCACTTATTGTTTGTTTGGGAACTAAAGCGATCATTTCCTGTCAGTTTGAAAGAGGAATGTGTAAAAGGAGTTTTTTATTTGACAGCTGATGATGCTCCAAAGCCTGTATATATGGATCAGCATTATTAATAACAGTGATACCTAATGTGCAGGATACCCATGCCATGTGCACTAATTCACCCCAATACTATCACGGATGCTGGCTTTTGAACTGAGTGCCAACACCAGCCGGAGGGTCCCTCTTGTCTTTATTCAGGAGGATGCAGCGTCCATTATTTCCAAGCAAAAAGTTAAATTTTGACTTGTCAGGGTTTCACTGTTTTTCAAAATTATCGCATTAGGGCATCTGAAGCCGAGGGGTTAGCTTGCGCGCTCCATCGAAGTGGGCAGCTGGGCTTGAATCCGAATCCTTTCCCTACTGAACTGAACTCAGCTTTATTAATTTAGCACCTTTTATACATAAAAACATGAAGCCAAAAATGCCTCACAAAAGAACTGCACGTCATTCCCCACTCTCTTACAGATTTCCGTCTCTATTCACCGTCATGTACTTCCTATAAAGGCATTAAAAGCCCCAAAATAAAACGTTTAAAAAATATTTTGTTAATATTGTACACTACTTCCCAACTGTTTTTGAAGTGAGGTTATAATTCAAAACAAGAAATTACCCAGTATTAGATGCCTAGGACTTATGTTGTTGTTGCCGTTGCATCAATAAAGGTATATTGCTCGATTTTTACAAGACTCCTGTCCAAGTTTACAAATCTGGTATTGTGACAGTTCTAGTGTTTAGTACAGTCAGTGTTATTCTCACAGAAAAACACATGAAATAGATGACACAGTGTCAGTGAGCACATGCAGAGTCAGCCATAGAGGTTTGCTGCAAATATAAACTCTGATTAAAAAAAAGCTGGAAATGTCAGGAGATTCATGCAGAGAATTGATTAATTTTGTCCTTACAGCAGCACGTCGACATGTTCTACTGTGTTCTGATATTACATGTTTAAATATGTGCTTTGACTCCTAAGGGAACCATCTGTCCGGTCTGGAGGCAGACGTGTGTATTGGCGTTTCACAGATCACTCCCCGGTACCGAGTTGGACGCCTGTCTGTGGTCACTGACTGAAGTCTGCAAAAAACTTCTTAAAGGAGCTCATCAAGGTAAAACCAGAACTTCATCAGCCCGCTGAAGGTCAGAGATTTCCTGTGTTTGGTTTACTGACACAGTGTGCAGCACAGTTGTTTCTATATCCTAAAAATAACGCGAGTCAGTTGCCAAATGTCTCATACACTTGGTAATGGGGAGAAGATAAAAAGTCAAGCTATAGCTCTTCAAATACTTAATTATTAAAGTCAATACTGACAGCAATGTTGGAGAGTTTAAAGATAACAGCTATGGCCTGGTCTAAGCAAAGCACAATGTCTGCCACCTACATAGTTATAAAGAATAAAGTCCTTTAACATTAGATATTAAGTTAAGAGTGTGTCAACGTTATCTCAAGGCCCTCTTTTCCCCAAATGACTGAGGGAGTTCTTCAAGGTTCAGTTCATGGATTTCACTATTTTCACTATTCATTAAAAAAACAAAAACTCTTCAGATAAAAACTTCATTGCCCGTCTTTATGCTGATGACACTTTCATTTACTCTTGTGTAGATTCTGTTCTCTAAATCAATGTGTAATTGAAGCTTTTTTATTTTTTTTTTTACTCATAAAGTCAAACTGGTCCCAAACTGAGCAAAGCCAAAATGCATTTTGTTCTCCAACCAAAGACATTTGAATGAACGTTTTGAAATTCTACCTTTTGTCAACACCATTATAGACGATGCAATACAGTGTGAATTTCTAAGTATTCGGATGGATGTAAAAACTTGCCTTTAATAACAACCTTTACATGCTGTAATCAAGAGTTAGATTGCAGCTAGACTGTTCCTCATAACTGAATCATGTTTTCCTGCATTGATCAAGTAGCTCTCCTCTCTGTATTGGAATATGGGGATGCTGTTTATGGAAGAGCGGCCTGAATATCTGCTGAATGTTCTCCACCAATCAGCCGTTTACTTTTCAGTAACCTCTTCTTTTTTTTCTTTTCTTTCATCAGTGATCTTTGGGGAGCTCCTTGCAGCTTTTGACTCGGCCCTGAGTTCTTTATGTTCAAAGTTTCTCCCTGAGGACGGAGGGACAAAGTGTGACCGGGGGACAACACTCTGCCTCCTGCTGGACCTGCTGGAGGTGCTGACTGCGTCCACTTGGATCTGCGGAGCTGCTGTGTGTCTGAAGAGTCAGATAATAACACACAGTCACTCCTCGGCTCTCCTGGAAACAGTCAGCGGCTCCTCAGAGTATTTTGTGAAGAAGCGAGCGTTGCTGCTCTTGAAGAGGGTCGTGCTGCAGAAGGCTGGAGAGGACTGGGCTTCAGGAGACTTGCTGCTCAGCGGGCTGAAACACGAGCAACTCAGCTCAGATATGAGCCGGCTTGCTCACAATGTGCTGACGGCAGTTGCTGCTGATTGGTTGGAGACTGTTCAAGTAGAATCTGCCTCTTTCTTTGGGGGAACCCGGGCGGTCCGAGGTGAAGAAGACCAAAAACCGGATTGTGTGATGCTGAGAGCTGTCAGTCTGCTGCTTCTCAAGTCAGCAGAACTTCGCATCCAATCAGCTGCTGGGACAGGTGAGATCATCATGACAAACACTCACAACTCAACATACTGAAATGACACTATCACTACTGTTATCATTTGAGGTGAGTTTGTATTTATTTCCGTCTCATTTAGGTGATATGAATGACATGATGATATGAATAGAGTGTATAGTTTCAGAACAAATCGGCCACTGTAGTGTCACACAGCACCTCTACAGCAGGGGGCGCACTGCTTACAGCCGTGTTTCTATGCTGTCCTGAGAGCCTCCCTGTGTCCCCTCCCAGCAGGATGGAGCAGAGCCACAGAGGTGTATGGGTACCTGCAGAGTCTGTGGAGCTTCCTGAGGAGATGCAGCGTCCTGCTGAGTGCGCTCACTCACCGCTGCTGCTGGATCAGCGTGCTGTTTGGAGAGCAGGACGACGACATGATGGAGGCGGCCAAAGCTTCTCTCTCCATATTCCTTCATCACAGGTACATACAAAGACGGACTGTGTCTAATATATAAGGGATGGGAATCGCTGGGTAACTCATAATATGATATGACAACAATATGCAAAATGTGACCCACAGTAATAATATCACGATATACAGTGATGCAGCAAATAAATCTGTTTAACCAACTCGGTAATTAGTTGCCAAGGAGCGTCCCTGGTCTTGAAAAATTATGTGATTAGACTGACATGGATCAGAAATGAATGTAAACAATTCACAGCGACGATGAAAAACACTTCATAACACTTATTCAACGATCAGACAGGATCTGGATGGAGATCACACCAACCCAGAGAAGTAATAATGGAGCTATTGCAAAATAATGACAAATGCATGAATATATCCACATATGCTGACACAGATCTGTGGAATGTGTGCTGGAAATTTCTGTTAACACTGCAAAAGGAAGGATCATGAGTAAATCAATGTCTTTGTTTAGTTTAATTCTTCTCGCAAGTAGAAGGAACAAAGCTTCAGAGTGTCAATACAGTCTGAAGGAAAGCTCCAAGTAATCACAATATGCTTGGGTTTATATACACATGCTTCACAGAAAAACCTTCATGCCTATATAAGGATTGCAGATACAGGCGCAGTCAAATATATTCAAAGAGATTCACACAAGACGTCAAAACGGCAAGAATTGTTGACATTGTTAAAATGCTAAAAATTGTTAATGTGACTACAGAGTCTAACCCTCCTGATGGACACAGATTCACCTGCTTGTCTTGACTAATCCCACAATTGTATCGATAAAAGCTTCATAATTCATACTCAGATTTGTCCATCTTGCAGACTAAAACAGATGTCTGTGGTATGAGGAGAAACATGTTAAGTCAGGTGTGTAATGTGACCTAATGCTTTCAACAATAAAGACACCTTGTTGGTGAAATCAGCTGGTGCGAGGTGTGATGCAGCGTCATGTTTTCAGAATGAGTGAACTGCAGTACCTGTTTCTGCCTGCAGGCGGTGCTCTGGGTTGGAGGATTTGGCTGAGTTGGATGCAGCCTGTGCGTCTGGTAACAACCCTCACTGCATTTTCCTGCTTCTGCTCCAGAGCGTCTCCTTCGACCACAGCATCCTCCTCGACTTCCTCATCTCCACGGAAACCTGTTTCCTGGAGTTCCTTGTGCGGTACCTCAAGTACCTCTCAGCTGATTGGCCGGGCTTCACTGCAGCGTGTGGAAGAATCGGCTGTCAACGTTCCCTCCAGCAGCGGTCCTCACCTGCCTCATGTGGTGGGGATGTGTTGGAACAAAAGACTAAAGGTGAGCCGGGTGGGCTCCGTCTGGTACAGTATGGTAGTTCTGACGAGTCCGGTCCAGAGGACATGGAGGTTTGTCATGATGAATCGAGGATGCCGGTTTGTGAGAACAGTCGACTAAATGTCAATCATGATGTGAAACAGGAGATGAGTGGACCACCAGGACCGATCAGACAGAAACAATATGAGTCATCACACTCTCTGAGTCAAGCTAACGCTGCGTTGAAGAGCTCATCATCATCATCGGTGCTACACAGTGAGCAAACGGGTCCAAACATGGCCGCTCTGTCAGGACAGGTGAGCACCTCAGAGAGAACAGTCCTCTGTCTGTCTCAGCTCAGGGTGCTGCTGACCAGGCTGCATGCGAGGAAACTCTTCCCATACAACCCGTCCTCTCTTATAAAGCTCCTCGCACAAGTGGAGAACAAATCTCAGCATCCTGTCCCAGTTCAATAAAACATGACCAATACCACTTGTGTTTTGTTAGGTGGTGTCAAAGACAATTTTTTTGTTCAGATTAAGGTTTTTGTTTTTAAAATATACAATCTCTGATTTACATGGTCGACAGAATCAAAAGGTATGAAGCTTTAAAAAATATGAGGTCTAAGCTGTACAAATATTGGCAAAGTTTTGAGAGTGCAGGAGATTGCCTGCAATTTTTTTCTCATTTAAAAACAAGAAATTGCCCAAAACTGGGTGTTTAGAACTTCAGAATCAGAATCAGAATCAGAAGCGGGGTTTATTGCCAAGTACATTTACACATTTGACTTGGTGTATTGGTGCTAAACAATTAACAAGGAAATAAAGCAGAACTAGCAACAACTTAAATAATACAGTATAAGAAGATATTAGATATATTAGATATATATAGAATAGAATTTAAAAATATAAAAGACAAAAAACACAAAATGTACAAAAGGTGCATTGACGGAGCTGTGTAACTTATAGTTTGAATCTCATGGTATTCTAAACCAGAGTCAATATTGTTTCATCTTTACCAGAATCATATCCAAATTTAAAATTCTGGTGTCATGACAACCCAGTTCAGACCATAATGTGCACAAATCCTGCTTTCTAAAGTCGCAGGATCACAACATGTATGTTTAGTGTTAGTTAAACACAAGGCGTTCTCTCCTCCTGATACATCTGACCGAACCAAACTCTGTCATACCTGGATTCATTTTGATGACCTGTCAGATCAGTACCAGGATGTCTCTGATGGACAACAACTAGCAGTGTTCTGTTTTCAGCTGTGGAGCTCGTGTCCATCTGTCTCGTTGCTTGTGGTTTAACAGTATTTGATTCAAACTTCTATGAAGTGAAGCCCCGTTTCCAAACAGTTGTGTACAATGTAAATGGAGTGAGCTGATTCCAAATAGCACAAAGACAACTTATCAGATGTTGAAACAGAGATATTTAATTGTTTTCAGCGTGTTATGAGCACTCTGTTTTGTTGATCCCTTTGTCTTGAAGGGGTTGCCTAAATTAATGTTAGGCTTTATCCCATCAGTGTAACAATTTGCTTGAATTTCTGTGAGTGAGAACTGGATCAAACATTTATTGGAACGCGCTAAATTGTTCGGTTGTAGTAAAACAAACATCAAAAGAGATAAAACAATGTGGTATACATGTGAATACTACTACACTTTAACATTACTTTTCATTTATGTTCCCAGACCTAACTAACACACAGCCAGTGGTTTTGAACTGCAATGGCTAAAAAACAACCCCAGCCCCACCTGGCTCAGACACAGTGAGGATGGCATGATATGTATGCCAGAAGCACAGCGGCCCCCCCACACAGCTTGCAGCTGGCTGTGTGTGGCAGCCGTCCACATTTTGTACAGAATGGCCGTTATGTCCATCTTTCATCCTGTGGCATTTTAAAGAGGCGGAGGAGAATGAGCAACACCTCAGAAAAGGTAGGACTAAAATTAAAGCCATTGCCAAAAATTTTTTAAATTTCCCCATTGTGGGATAAATAAAGGATTATCTTATTTTATCTTAAAATTAATTTGGCAAAATGATCCCTGAATAATAGCAAAATATTTTCTGTTTTTAGGGAGAACACTGCAGAGCTGTTGAAGGCTGCTTTAGAATAATACATGAGTGACTGTGCAAGTGATTAGGCTGTTCTTGTTTTGATCGGTTGAATGTAAATTCTGCTGCCATTTAATTACATGAACGTGAATTGAACATCTCCTCTCACTTACAGGTACATAGGGACATAATTTTTGGGGGCCTGACATAGTGGGATGCATTGTTGTAAAAATCAAATTCCTGCATTTATTTGTCTGCTGGTGATGCATCAACATGTTATGATGCCATATTGGCTGACAAGAGACTACCTACAAACAAGCTGGAGCGTCACTGGCAAACGAGGTGACTGAATATTGGTGAGTTGTTTTAGTTTAGTTTGGGTATTTGAGTATTTCGCGGTGATCTTTTTTTAAATTATTTTAGAAAATTGATATGGAATTGGAAAAAGGCACCAGGAAGCATTCCCTGACCTGATAACTGTCAGCTGTGTGGCACGTCGCCTCAGTCTGGCCGTGTCAGAATGCCTCATTAAATGTGCCAGGACAACCGTCTGGTTCTACCATACATCCACAAACAGGACCAGCAGTCTCAAAGAAATGGGAGAAATCAAACTGCAGGTTAGCAGCATGCAGTGCAGATCCTTGAGATTAATTTTTTGTTTGATTTAATTTGTGATTTAATTTTGTTTGAAAAAAAGAAACTGAGTGGTAAACATGAACCTGTCCCAACTTTCTTTTAAACATGTAGCTAGCATCATAGTCATATGGGGATATCATTTTACAAAAACAATGATCACATTTAGTTTTCATTTTCATTTTACACAACGTCCCAGTATTTTAGGAAATTGGGTTGAATATCCTGTTTGTGTTGCCATGCATTTGAGTATAAAATAAACAATAAATACAGAAAAATATATCAAGCTATAAAAGAGAGGGTAAAGGAAGATTTACATAATGTTTGACAAAATGCTTCCTCTGTTTCTTTTGGCCCAATGGGAACGTTCCAGATACATATTTTCCATGTGACTATCATGTTAATTATTAGTTCAGAGTCATGAAAGTGCTCTATTGATTTAGTTTGACACTGAGTACTAACACTGTTTGCTCTGTGAGTCCACACAACCCAACCCAACTGAGTTGACTGTAAGCCCACTTACAGCTAACAAACCCTCCAATCTTTGCACTGTTTCATGATGATGTCAGCACACAAGAGAACTACAGATTTAATCAGGACTAAACTCCTGCGAGAAAACTGATGAACCTTTAACATTTTTCTAAAGGTTCATCACTAAAAGCTGAAGATGTTATCCTCTGAACATTAAATACCAATCAGCCCATCCCTCCTGGGTCTTCTGAGATACTGTTTACAAAAACAAGATAACACCTAATTATGCTCAATTTAATGTTTTTAAGTGTTGAATTTAATTTAGTTGGCCTTATAGAAGCAACACTGTAGTTTATGAAGAGATAGTTGTACTTATTTTGACACCTAGAAACTCTATATGTTTTTAATTTTCAACTTAGATTTCAACTATGAAAAAATGCAGCCAAACTCCTGCAGACTGTCTTAAAATTCTCAAAAATATTGGCAACCTTTCCATACGGGCAGGGTTACTTTTGTGTCCATGCAGAAAACAAGAGAAATTTGGCACATAGCACGGTTGTCACAATTTTGATAATAATAAAAAATCAAACAATATCAAAACCACAGCAGATTGTCTTATGAATTCGTTTTTTTTCTTTTTAGTGATGGGACAGATCCGATCTTATATTGATGTCACGTCCAATATTGAAATAAATTTACGTATCGGAAATCAGACTGACGGTGCTGATCCACGTCACTGACCTAGAAATGGTTGGGCACTTTGAACACTCTCACTTTGAAGACGTTCAGACTGAACTGTAAGAAGTGCCCACAAGTCGTCTCCATGACGACGTTCAGACGAGATGAAACAGCTCCTTCTATATATTATAAAGTAGAATTCTTACACTTCAGTTTAAAATGTTTTAATTTGAAAAATCTGACAGCTGTTGCTGCTTCCTGTTTGTGTGAAGCCAGCAGAATGCGATGCTGGATTTACTACAGCTTTGTGCAGCCTTACACATAATACCAACAACAACAATAACATTATTAGTCATGATATCAAAATCAGTATTGGTACATAATGTATCATTATCGGATCAGAACTGACAAAAAGTGGAAGGGTGCATCTCTTTTCTTTTTTTTAAGCTTTGGTACTTTTGAGTCTACTATCATTCAAATAAGAGAGGTTGTAAAACATGTATTGAACATTGTTTTTATTTGATGTATTTAATTTCACAGGGAGAACCCCCTGGGATCAATCTTTATTTGTATAGCGCCAATTCATAACAAGTTTTACCTCGAGATAAGACCTTACTCTATGTTATTTAATATTACAAAAGACAAGTCAATCCATCATGAGCGTAGCGCTTAGCAACATTTAGCAAAAGTTACAGAGGCAAGAAAAAACTTCCTTTTAAGGGGCAGAAATCTGTTTTCCAGAGGTGCCCAACAGCAATACAATGAATAGAAATAGAATAGAATAGATGTTTATTTCCATTTGCACAGGTACAGGACAGTACAGGTACATTGGAATTTTTGTGCGTTTCTCCCTGAGTCAGCTTCTACAAAAAAGTTTAAATTATATATAAAATAGAATAACATTATAAGAAAAAAAGAGTAGAAAAAAATAAAGAAGTTGTAGTAACAGGTAAGTAAATTAAAATAAACTGTACAGAAGCTATACACTGTATTAAAGCAAATATATAATACAAAACAATTACAAAGAGGAACACTGTACAATGAAATGAAATGAAATGAACGATAGAAAAAAAAACATAATGCACAGTTAAAATAATTACAAATATACATTTATAAACACATGCATTCTTACAAACCCATGCCCTGGTTAAAAAGTCACACTTTAAAGTAGTTACAATGACTTCCTGTTAGAAGTTCTGAAAGTCTCAAAGCATTGAAACTGTTGACAACCTCAGTACATAGAATAATTCATCTTACAAACACAGGACAAACGATGAGTGTTTTATTAACAGAGTTCCTTTGTCTCCTCGTTTGTCTCTTGAAGGATTGTTTTGTGGGAGAACCTGATTTTGTACTTTTTCAGCAACACAATACAAACAAGGTTATTGGATCCCTGCATGGCAGTGCTGTGTGTGTGTGTGTGTGTGTGTGTGTGTGTGTGTGTGTGTGTGATTGTGTGTTTGTGTGTGTTGGTCCATCCGCTAACCAACCTCGACTTCCTGGAGGGGAGGGGGGTAAAAAAAGGCTTCTCAGGTAATTGTACCTGTGCTGGGTGTGACATGAAGAATGTCAAATACAGAGAGAGTGTGTGTCTGCTCGCTGGAGTGAAGGAATAGAGGATTTATTTTCTCTCACAGCAAACGGAGCAGAGAGGACGCAGCCTGTACCTGCTCTGACCACACACACACACACACACACACAGACAGAGACACACACAGAGGGGAGGTAAGTCTGTTTGTGTGACCTTGTGGTGTGATTGGAATCTGCTCTGCTTGTTCTTCAGCTTGAATGGGAAATAGGTCAGTGTCAATGTGTGTGCTGTAAGTTAGAAGTTGAAGTCTGCTGCCTGTTTGATGTGAGGAGATCCTGGTGTTGGTAAAGTTTGCTCTCAGCTCGCTCTGTCACGGCTGAAGGATGAATGCCGTAACTGTTCTCACCCAGATCAACACAAAGATATTGTGAGAGCTGAGCCGGGCCCACTTTAGATCTGAAAGTCTGGCTTCAGTTTAATCGTGTGGGTTTAGGATGTTTTGTTTTTTTCTGTGTTTGGCACCTGTGCGTCAGGGTAACCTTTGAAGGGCCCGGAGCTATGAAAAGAAAATGTGGAATGACGAGTAGTGTGACTGAAAGCCATTATCCTTTAATGTCTTGCTAAACTGTTAACAAACTGCTAGCGGACACGTCAACTGTGTTGTGTTATTGTGAAGCCTGAGGTCATGAAAAAAAGCTTTTTTTTAAAAAAGGGTCCATTTGATCTTTACTGCTCTTTTAATTCCCCAAGTGAGACTTTTATAATGTGTTCTGTATTTCAGAGACACATATTTAACTTTTAAATCTTAACTTTGAGAAAATGACCAAAACAGCACTGAGGGGAATTCAACATGCAGGCTGAACTTGACATACTTTATTCACTTTATAATAACTGTCTCACTTTGTCAGACATATAAGTGAATAAATCCAAAGTTCAGAAATCCACAGTTTGGATGATATCACTGTCAAACACTTGACAAAGTTTCAGAGGGACCAAAATGTTGGGATTATTTTCTAATTAATTGGTGATGTGGGATGGTTTCTTTTCAAGTTACAGTTTGTTGTCCTACGCACCTACTTCATGAGATAGTGGGATGTGCGAACACCTCCTTACAAAACGATTATATCACTTTTAAAATGAACGGGGTTGTTCCACCAATGAGGTGATTTCTTATATGATACAATTTATTGTCCCCTTGGAGGACATTTGTCGTGGATTCAAAGTGTTCGGTGTTTTATTTTTTTGTTGAGCAAAGGTGTGAAAGCAATACAAGTGCTCAGCATTTCAGAGGATACAAAGTGACAATATGGGCAGTTATGGAAACACTAAACATCGGCTAGTGACGGGAGGTGTTTAAATTGTTTGTAAAGAAAGAAAAACACAGACAGAGATCAAATAAAAAAAGAAAAGAAAGGGCACCTATGTCGTTTTGATGGCCTTGAGAAGTGAAAAAATGTGATAGGGTTGTATATGTAAGAATATGAATTTATGAATGTGTAGCTGTGTGTATAGTGGTGTGAAAGCTGATGATTGAGGTTTCAGATGAGGGGTTCAGAGCTGTGCAAAAGGAGCAAACTCAGTAATCAATCAGAACATTTTGTTCTGCACTTTAATTTAGATTTCTGTTAAGATAAAGCAATACAGCTCGGACTACAAATGTACTACAGCGGGAAACCAGCACACTTTCCATGCTGAAAATCAGTGTGTACAGTTTCTACATGTCTATGTAGAACCTGTAAATAGTTGTTATTGGGAGTTTCAGATGCTGCTGGTTTGTAGACTTCGTTGAGGGGAGGGGTTTAGGGATATTTATCAGAGATTGTAATCTAGAGCCTGACCAGCAGCCTGTCAGTGTGATGACCTCAGAGGTCTCAAACATCCTGTTTAAGTTGAAATACAAATAAATAAAAGGAGAGCTGAGATGGCACTGTTGTGTTTGTCCAGAGTACGGAAGCCCTGAGAGGCAACCGGGAAAAAAACAGTAGTCCAGGGTAGTTGGGTATGGTTTGTCATGATACCAGAAGCTTAAACTTTGATATTATTCTAGTCAAAATCCAAATATTGATACCTGTTTTCACACCATGGCAACAAAAATAGAAGTCTTTGACACAGATTATTGGATAATTTCTTTTTCTTTAATAAACAAAAATGGCAGGCATTCTCCTGCACACTGTCTACAATGTTTCAGTAACAAATCATTCTTTTCTATGCATGGACATAATGTGATCATAACCTTGCATTTTGATAAGCCACCTCTAGCTTACATCTCTCATCGTAGCTCTGCATGATCATAATGTCCCTGTTGGCAGTAGGGGTGTTCACATTCAATTGACTAAACGGTTAAACATCTTCACCCTTTTCTATTCAGCAGTAGAATGAATCGCTTAAACAAATGATTCATATTTTCCCTGTCAATGTCATTCAGATGTCATGTCATGGTCAAACTGCAAACACAGCTGCCCACTAACAGCGCCCACTATCGCTCTGGTTAACGGGCCTGCTCTCCTTGCTCTACAACCCGGATGTAAACGAGCACTGTTAACAGATAGCATCTTGTAGGAGCAGCAGAACTGTTTGTCAGTGTTTTGATCTTCAAAATGGAGATAACGTTGTCTGTAGGCTGTGTCAGGTTAAACTGGAATATCCATCAGAGCGATGTAACACAGGTATGAGGACATTACCTGCAAGGTTGTGGTGCTAGCACAGCTCACGTTAGCGACACTGGACTAGCCAAATGACAGACTATTCACAAGTACATGATACAATGACACTTTGAAAATACAAAACAAGATCATTATGCTTTGTGAATGGCACAATGACTGAGAAGGTATTTGTTGCATTTAAAGGAGTTTGAACTTACAGCATTTGTCAACAGGAACATTATGATGTATGTTGAGCTACCAGGAGTCCAGTGTTTCAAATATCTGATGTTCAAAGTCACATTAGTTTACTTACACTTACACATTGACCTTGCTATAGAACCAGAAATTCTCCCTCTGTTATTTCAAAAAGTCCTGGGTCAGTTGACCTTGGGTCACAGTGCTCTGAATGTGCCTCAGTATTATTGACGTATCATAAGTATTATCACTAGTATTTGATAACCTCATATATGAACATAATTTCCCCCTGTTTTGTGTAATTTTGGCAGTGAGCAGGAGTTTATTAAGTTTTGATCATTGAAATTAAGAAATTACGAGCCATGAAGATGGCTGGCAGCTTCCAAAGATATATACTTGTAGATGCCACTGGTGATATGGCCGCCATCTTGCAGAGGGGTAGCTGCAGCTCCTCATGAATGTAAGTCTTTCTGATGGCAGGAGGGCTACCAACAGTTAAAATATTTATAACTTGCCGAAATGTGACAATATTCAAGCAGATTGTTTTTTGTGGACATGT